TTACTTTTTTAGGCGAGGTATTATTTTGAAGAGGATAATCTTACTCATGAAGAAGATCATATTGCCTTTAATCCTAGGTAAGGTATGCATTTATACCTAGATAAGGTAGAAACCATAATCCGTTGGAGTCTTTGATTCTTATAGATAGTCAATTGCATTCTTAATAGAGTCTCAATCGTTTATTTTTTTCAAGTTGATTAGAGTCTTCTATGCTTGAATAAAGCAAAAGCTTATATACTTGAATAAAGTAAACACCTTGATTATTTAGGAACCCTACTAGTTTTTTTTTTCTCTAAGTAAGGGATAAAAACTTTCTTAAGGGAAGGATGAGGTTGTTAACCTCTTATAGAGATTTATGGTGTTTTTAGACCTAGCAAAGTATGTCTTTAGATTTAAACCATATATATACTATGAATTTTATAGTTTTGGATTTTCATAGATCATTGGTTGCACTTTAGAAAGATGAAGTTCACACTTTATTTTTTCTTCTTCTTTGTGGTGACCAAGGTGTCTTTAGATCCGGCTAAGATATGCATTTATACTTGGACAAAATAATAACCCTAGTTTGAAAGATTGAGTAGAGTTTTCAATTCTTAAGAAGATACGTGGTGCCTTTAAACCTAGGTAAAGCATACATTTATAACCGAGATAAGATAATAACCACAACCCTTTGAAACTCTAAAAAATTTCTCTTTGCCAATTATGTTACGGAAGTTAATAAGTGTTTTGTTTTATAACGATGACTCGGGTATCTTTATACATAGGTAAAGTGTGCCTTTTATAACCATGCAAGGTAAAACCCTAACTATTTTTATCTAATATCTTTGTAAGGTATAGCATTTGCAATAAATAAATGACTACACATTGTTGAATCGAGTGTGCTTTTATGTTCAAGCATACTAATTGATGAATTTTTATGTGAAAGCACCTTCATTGATGATATATGTATATATTTTTATACAAAAAAGCTTGTCATTGTGATGCATTGGCCTTCTTAGAGATTTTTGACTAGCGATTAATTTTTTTCTTTATGTCTTTGAGTCCTCAACATCTCCTATATAGTCCTCTTCTTGTCTTTGTTTTTGTCGCTTCTAGATTTCTTAATACTAAAAGAGAAGCACCTTTAAGAGGTAACCTTACTTCTCTTGATTATAATTGTCCCCTCGGTTGTAGGGAATTTTAAAGATATATAATAAGTGTTAATAACAACGTTGATTTTGCGAGAGGAAAGGTTTTTTGAATGTGGAATTGTACATCATATTCACCTCTATGACCATAAATATAGGATCTAATATTACACTTCGGAGAGAGGTGCTTATGGTCACTAGAACTTGAATTGCACTATCCACCTAAACCTACCTTCCTTCATCCCCTCAAATGAGTTTCAACTAGTTAAGTTTCAAAAAGTTTATTTTTATTAAGTAGAAGTCTTTATTTGATAAAATGCTAATGATGTTGTTTGGATCTAACAAAATACAATAGATTTTATGATTAAAGACCATTGTTAAAATTACTAAAGTGTCATCATGAGTGAAATTTATTCCCTTTGCATCCATAAGGGTAAAGATAATGGGCTCATACTAGAGTGTGAGATCTCGTGCAATGGTAAGGATTGGAAAAGTCCTTGTTTTCCTTTTGTTAAATCATTTCTTGATGGGCAATCCGCCCAAAATCACATTAGTTTGAGTGCAATCTTCTTTGTGAGGGTTTTACCTAGCGCTAGCCCTATCTCGGTTTAAGTTCTTCTATCTTAATGAATTGCTTAAGATATCCTTTAGCTATTAATCTTACTATTTCATTTTTTAGGAAATAGTAGTTCTTGAAATTATAGCCAACATCCTAACGATAAAGATAGCACATCTTTTGATTGTAAAAGTGTAAAGGGATCATTTATTGGAGTGGTCGACATATTCCTTCCCTTATATGATAACAAATATCTTTATTTGGAATATATTTAGGATAGTTGTTTAGAGTTACGAGAAGATCATACGGTTATGCACAAACCCTTTGGATTTTTTTTTTCAATTAGAGTAGGGTAGAATTGATCTCTTCCTTTTTTTTTTTTTTTGTCGGCTTTTGAAAGTATGGGTGAGCTTATCGAGTATTGATCACTTCCTCCATATCGATACTTGCTCTTTGCCACTTTCTTTGCTTGGTCGAGGTTTTTATTGAGGAGAGCGTTAATTTTCTTCATAATTTGGTGTCATTGACCCTTTATATGAGGGCTTTAATTACCATAGGTTCTAATAGGTTATTAGACTGTAGCATTTTTTTTATGGTAGCAAGAGGAGTAAGCATAAATGCTTTCTCTATCTTTTTGAGAAATAGTGAATAAGTAGTCATAACTTTTTTCGGTAGGAATGCTAGTGAAGAAATGAGCCACTAGTTTAAAGCATAGATATTCAAAACTAATGATTGATTTAGGATCTAAGTTGTTATACTATTTCTTGACCAACTCTTAAAATATGGTAGGAAGCACTTTTTATATGGCATCCGAGCTCTTTTTGACTAGCTTAAGGTTTTCTTGAACATTTTAGACATGTTTTCAAGGACCTATCATGCTATTATATATGTCCAAATTCATTTTTTCAACATAAAACTCCCTTAGAAGTCCGGCATTCACAATGTCAAGAGCAATTAGAGAGGCCCGAAGCTTACAACTATAGTAGTCTTATTCGAGTTAAGAAGCAACCTCATGTCTTTTTTTTTTTTTTCTTTTTGCTAGTTAGTGCTTGGGTTTAGGGTTTATTGAGAAGGTTTGAGAGGAAGAAGAACCGCTTTTGTGCTGATCCTTATGTTTATTTACGGCGATGTCTACTCTTAACATTGTATTAATATTCGATTCTATCATCTCTCTCCCTACAAGAGCCCTAATTGGTCGATTTTTTATCATGGCGATTAGAGTGATTTTTTTTTAGATTTTAGGGAACGACCACGTTCTTTTCTCTTAGCCATTCTCTCACTTGTAATGGTCGTTTTCTCTTTAATCGAGCGTTAGACTAGTCTATTTTAGCGAAATAGGCTCATATGGATCTTGTGGTGTGGTGAAAGTTTTTGGAGGAAGTGCATGTGAAGGTGTTTGTTACGTCCGAAGTGTTGGCAAAGAAGTAATCAAAGACTTTATTTGCTTCGCATTGATATGTATGCCTCTATTAATATGTCGATGCATCATTATAAATGAAGGATGTCAACTTGCGGAATGCTAGGATTAGCAAAATTGAATGGTGTAGAAAGTGTTGGAGTTTTCCGATTGTCGGTCATGAAAAAGCTTAGAGATGGAGAAATAAGAGTTAGGGATTGGCTTTTTAATCATTTCTCACAAATCGCACCACTAATGAAAACGTGATCCTAAGATTAAGATTGATAGTTATATGACTTCCAATCAATGATGATCATAGTATTAATATAACTTGTAGTGCATTAAATCAATGGCTAGTACCTAACAAAACAAGTCATCATCTAATGTTTGAAGGACTCTCCGATAGCTAAGTTAGTTTATAGAGAGAATTGTATGGTTTAAGTAGGCTTTAGAGAATTTTGCTTTATATATAGATATAACATCTTGTAACATAAGGTATGTTAATCTTTATATAGGTGAGGTGTAATCGATTTGCATTCGAGTTAAAGATTGACTTTTTACTCAATTTCTCATAGATGGTGCCACTCGATGGGGTCGTGATCCTAAGATTAAGATCGATAGTTAGATGACTTCCAATCTAGACTAAACATACTATTGATATAACTTGTAGTGCATTGAATCAATGGCTAGTACCTGCAAAACACGTTATCATCTAGTGTTTGGAAGACTCTTCGATGGTTAATTTAGTTTATAGAGAAATGTGTATGTCATAGGCTTTTGAGAATTTTGCTTTTATATGGAGAAGATATATAATATTACATATAGTTTGAGTTTAGAATATAGAACCTGCAACATGAGGTGTGTTAATCTTTATAAAGGTAATATGTGATCAATTTGAATGGAGTGAAGGATAGAATGTTTTCTTTTCTTGTGTTTAATAGCTCTTTACATCTATTTGAAGGTTTTAGATTTTTTTTTTAGACGAATATCATCATATAATAATGTATGCATATTCATAGCTTCATTAAATATTTGTTCTTTTTGTTTAATAAGTGGAAGGAAGGACATTATTTTTGTTGAAGTCATATGAGATTTATGCAATTTATTCAATTGTGAGGTCTCTGATGGATGGTCGGGATTATTATGTTCATGACGAAGCTTTGTCTAATTGTTCTTTAAGTGGAGTACTACAAAGAAACATATCATAATTATGATCATACGAGTATATCAGGAAAGCATTTCTATTCTCAAACCTTAATGATGAAGTCATGAACAAGGAGCTTAAGCCCTATTTAAAGTCCAACACGAAAACTATGAAATAAAATAGAAATCAACATTAAGGAACAGTAAATGGTGACAATACGAAGCACAAAGAGGCAGAAGTCTTCCTCTGATACCAGAGTTGCTAAAGTACAAGTTCGCTGTACAAGGGTATCAGGAAAAAAAAAAGACAAACGATAGCAACAACCATGACGATGATATGCATGACAGAATGTGATGAAATGCTTACATTATAATGGAAAAGAGGAAATAGTGATCATTGCCCCTCTTTATTACATTGAACTCTACCAAAAATTAAAAGAAAGTGCTCTATAATATTCTTCTCTCTTCACGCATCCTTCATCTCAAAGATTTTCAATCCAACAGTGGAACAAAAATGTAAAGAAAATTCTGCACTGCATATGGGCCTATCAATTCCGAAAGGAAAAAAGCAAAATACGTAGAGTGCAAACTTTAAGTTGTAAAAGGGTAAGATATTAATCACATTAGTTTCTGAAGTTACACTGAAAATCTGTAAAGAATGAATGTATTACTATATAACCCATACCCTGTATGAACATCAAATCTATGTTAGCGATCACCAAAAATACATGATGAAGCCTGGATGCAATCCACATTAGGGATAGCTGAAACACCAAACTCATGGGAATTGAAGGAGTCCCCCAATTTGATTATTTCCTGATGGAGGGTCAATAGCAACCCACAATAGTGAAACAATAATCGAAAGGAGTCCCGACCAAACAAATACGATGGTGGGTGTCTTTCCACGTCTTCCCATAAGACCTTTTGCAAAGGGGTAGAGATGAGCCAAGACCCAAAAGCTGAAGAACACACCTCCAAGTAAATTGCTCCACTGAGGTGCGTCACTATATATAGTTCGGGAAACTCCGACTCCGATTGCAATCAAGTTAACCATAATGATTGTGCAAGGCGGTATCATAAGAGATGTCCATTTGAATAAATAGAGATCAGAAAACTCATCATCAACATCATCGCGACCTGATTTAGATGTCAGTGTAAAAGAAATCTCAATCCCTGCAATCACCTTCAGTAGCCCCTGGAGCACGGCAATGAGATGTGCACTTGTGCCTCCAATTAACCAGAACTGCTCGTTCCTCCACCATTCTTCCAGTGCAATGCCAGACCACTTGATCTCAAGCATAGCGAGAATACAAAGGGTCACACTGATGACCAAGAGGTATACTAGGAATGTGACAGTTAGAGATGCAACTATGAACTGATTGGAGAAGAGTGCAAGTGCAGGAAGGAAGCAGTAAACAATGAGGAATAAAGAAGTGAAAGGGTAAATTCCAACATTGAGGTAAGCAATCCTCTGCAGCAGCTTCAACCTATGGCCACCCAGAAGGGCATTGTTGCGAGAAAAGAATATCTCAACAGAGCCAGTTGCCCACCGGAGAACCTGATGAAGTCGATCAGTAAGATTAATAGGGGCAGTCCCACGGAATGCATCCCTCTTAGTCACACAATAAACTGACCTCCATCCCCGTTCATGCATCCTATACCCAGTGACCACATCCTCAGTTACGGACCCATAAATCCACCCAATAGATTGGCCCCATTCAGTCTTATCTTCATACCAGCAAGAGATGACATTCACTGCCTCTGCAATTGTGGCTAGATGCAGGGGCTCCCTAGGAGTAGTTAGAGCACCAGGAGGCCGTCCATATTTGACATACAAATTATCAGCAAGGGGTAGACCTTGAAATGCTGCCACCTGTACAGAATCAAGAAACAAACTTGAATTTCCAAATTTTCTAGGAATAAGAGCAAGGTTCATTTCCTGATCATCTGTGTCTTCCATTCCATGAGATTGGCCGTGCTCCGGGGCAGAAGCAATGGCAGCCTTCTTGTGACGGCCAAAGAAGCAGCTGCAGCAACTGCCATGATCTTCATACCGTGGAGGATCGAAGTTATAGAGGGCAGTCCGACGAAAGAGGCACCCTGTTCCAACATATACTGGACCTTGTACCCCATCAAGGGCTCGCATGTTGACATCAAAGAAAACAGTATTGTGATTGGCATAGCGATCGGATGGATCAATTCCTTCAAACCTCTGAGGAAACTGAACATAAGAAATGCCTTCCCCACCCTGGTCCATCATGAAGCACATGCCTTCTCTCAATGCCTGGGAGTTGTATATGTAGTGGTCACAGTCAAGGTTAAGAATGAAAGGTCCATTAGACATAACAGCAGAGGCTCGAACCAGCGCATTCATCGCTCCAGCCTTCTTGTTGTGATCGTAACCAGGTCGCTTTTCGCGAGAGATATAAACCAACACAGGAAGGCGAATGTCAACTTCAGATAGGTTCATGGAATTGCTATCACCAGCTGTTCCCTTTAGTGATTCATCACTAGGAGGCTGCAACATTACCTGAAGTAGATTGTTCAGCCTGTTATTCAGAACATACAATCTCCCTCCATATAAACACATACATGTAAAGCTACTAACTAGCATGTCGAGCAATTAATGCATTTGCCACCAAACTCTAGCAACACTATGCAAAAAATTTTCCCTCTGAAATCAAGGAAAATAACAACGCATATAGCAAGCAAGATGTGACGAGAAATTAATGGATGCTTTGTGTCTGTAATATTCGATAACAAAAAAAGAGTTGCTGTAATAAATTCATTAGAAGTTCTAATGTAAGTTCTAGAATCAGTAACCTCACCTGTATGATGCTGGCATGATCCCCCCTTGTGTGCTCAGGTGCTGAAACTGTCCAGGTGCCAGGCCAATGGGTTCCATCAGCCATCCAAGTAGCTTTTGGGATCTTCAATCTATCCATTGGTTCGTCATCACCTTTCTCTTTCCATCTCTTCAATGCCTTAAGCTCCTCTTGAGTATTATAGGCATCAGAACGTCGGCGAATCGAATCAGGAAGACCATTAGTTCGAACCTTGAATTCATCATACTCACGTTTTACCCGCCTTCGATCTCTAACAAAATCTGGGCGGACCTTGTTCTTATAAGGATCTCTCTTCTGATTGAAATAAGATTCTGGGTTTCTGGGTTCAATTTCATGTTTCCTACAAAATGGAACCCACAAGTTGGCAAAACTAGCAGCCTCTGCCATGGCTTCAAAAGTTAGCAGAGCTCCTCCATCATCAGAAACATAACACGAGAGCTTCTCAACTGGGTAATCAGCTGCGAGAATAGACAGAATGGTGTTTGCAGTGACAAGGGGTGGTTCTTTCTCTGGATCTGCAGTAGAAACAAAGATGTCTATGCCAGGAAGATCAGATTTTCCTGTAGGATTACTTGAACTAGGAGTTTCGAACTTCTCCTTCAGAACATCGAGGTCAGCAACACGGTTAACTGGACAGAGCTTCGGGAGCTGGTCAAGTAGCCAAGAGAAAGCAAACCAGATTTCACAAACCAGAGACATGCCCCATAACCAAATTGCATCTTCATTAGGATTTGATACCCTCCAATACAGGAATAGTGCAAGAACAATCATTCGGACAAGGATTAGAATCCTGCAACAATAGGTCAGCAGAATGCATGAATTATAATATCAAAATGCTATTGCGCAAGTATATTGTGAAAAGCGTAAGCTCCCAAGAATAAGAAAACAGAAACTCAGAGTAATCATGCCGTGAAATGATAACAAAATAAAACTTGGAAACATGATTAAAAAGCAGAAAACTTTAAAATTTGCTGACAATATGATACTTGTAGACGAAGTGTGTGTATATAGTAGATCAAAGATGGAACAGAAGCCGAAGTAATAATGCAAAGTGCTCCCAAAACCTATGAAGTTATATAGATATTTAAACTCCAAAGGTTATATGGTCCATATGTACACCAATGAAGAATGAACTAAATTATCCCTTCCAAAGGAAACAAAGAACCTTAAAATTCACAGAAATTAGTAAAATGTTCAGAAACTTCATATCGAAGACTGAATATAAGGATATCTCTTACTGTTCTGCAACTCTTTGTTTAACTTCGCAATTATTTACCACCCAATAAATTTGCAATGATGTAAAACCAGCTTAAGAGAACAAATTAATTATGTAGAAATTACTCATGACTTGAAAACACAACCGGCAAATTTATGTTAAAAGAATGGATTAAAAACCTATTACTGAAGCTCTGTATTATTTATTCACCACTCCAAATAAGCAAGGACAGGGGACAGAGAAAATTCACAACTCAGAGAGAGTAACTAAAAGAGGACACGAGGAGAAAATTGGTATTCTCACCGATATGGAGCAATAACTGCAGTAGATATTTTCAATTCACGGGTAAGCGGTTTCCGTTGTTTCTCAACAAATGTTTTAGGGACACCACTACTCCCCTCATCATTGCCATTCACATCATCTGTTGGCCACACAGCATTTCCATACCCATAATTCGTCTTTGACTCGAACAAAAATTGGGAATAATCAAACTCACCACTCCGGCTCTTCGCCAACTCTTTATTCGATTTGGCGACAGATAAACTCCTTTGCAACTCAGACAAACCATGACCCCTATAAGGCTCTTTACAACCAGGGCATATCCCATCACCAGTAGCTAAGGCATCCTTGTAACAATCCCTACAAATTTTATATTCACATTCACAAGGCACCAAATCCACACCACGTTCATCAGTAATGACCCGAGCATCACAACCCAACACCTCACAATACGACCCTTTTGCACCTGCCATTTGAGGATGGCTTGTTTGGGACTCGATCATCTTTTCTTTCAAATGCGCTCGCGTAGCGCAATTATGCCCACCCGTAAACATAGAATTCGAGGTGCAACTCCGATCCAGCTTCTTTTCATTCTCTACGGGGATTTCCATTGGCTGATTATCAGGCGTGGGCGGTATCTGGACTGTATATGTAGCAAATTCTACACTACTAATCTCACTATCAAGATCCTCCCTTGAGTTACTATAGTGGTGAATTGTGGGTGCTCTTCTTAGATGGTATGGATCAGCAGCCATGTTGTTGACTGTGTAACGTTTAGCAGACAATATTGAAATGAACAGACCCTGAAATTAATTTGAAGAGTATTTTAACAAGTGGGTATATAAGAGCTAGCAAAAATATACATTGACAGAGACAAATTGGAAAAACAGCCCAAAATCATTCCTCCATTTTTATTTTTTATTTTTCATCCAATCTCCCTCTTCATCCCCTCTTTACAAGACAGGAAACATGGGTTATATGGAACTTTTTTTTTTAAAAAAAAAAAAAAACGAAAGCAGAACTCAGTTATATCACCACAGATAACAACTGACCAGAAAGAAAGAAAGAAAGAAAGATTCTCTGCCTGTGAAATTTTCGCATAAACATAAAGTCTCAAGAAAGTGGTTGAGAAATGAAGTAAGCAAAACAGGTAAAGAAAGTTTCTTGCAAAGCGTACCTATTTGAACAACCGGGGGGAAAAAAAAAAACAGAGGGACCAAGTCCAATTCAAAGCCTCAAGCCACCAATATTATTTCTTGAAACCCGTCATCATATCAATATTAATACTAATAATGTTTGTATTTTCTACAAATGCAAAAACAAAAACAACCCTTTTGTTGAAAATGCAGGGTCTCTCCGACACCGAGTTCCTCGTTCTGTGTTTTTACAGAGGTTTAAGGGGGAGTAATGTTTTTGTTTTATTTCGATGTGTATTAAAGGCAAGGATGTGAATGCCTGACACGAGGGTTTGGTAACAAATCACCGGATGGAATAAGGAAACACGGTTTTTAGGAACTAACAAGGAGAATCTAAAAACCGAAACTTTAGGGATCTCCAGAGGGTATTTTCGATATTTTGATTTGTCAGGCTTTCAAGCCGCAGTCTACGCTGTGTCTGGGGGTATATTTTGGTGCGCGTTCCAAATTTGCATTCCTGCATCCGCCTCCTTTTATTTATTTATTTTTAAGAATGCTCTACGGGTTTTATTCAAAGAATAAATTCAGAGTCGATGGGAACTACAGAAGAATGTCAGGTGGATATTCCTCTATCAACACCTGCTCATTGCGAACAATTAAAACCAATAACATAATCATTGCATTAATATTATAATATTAAAGAAATAAAATAACATAATGGTTTTCTGATTTGTTCGTAGATGACGAATCTTTACTCACGGGAGTTACAGCAATTTTGCTTACGCGGATAACAAACACTCTGTAATGTGCTGTACTATTACCCCACCCTGGAGCCGCCGACTTAGAGTCCTTCCTCGCTCACAAAGAGTTTTTTTTTTTTTTTTTTTTGGGATATGTAAAGAAACTTAATTGGAAGTTCTGAATTCTTAATTTTATGTACATTGATTGCGCCGATCATAAGCGTCATACTATGTACTTGCGGCGTGATAAAAATCAATTCAAGTTAATTGCATTGAACCTATGTATGAAATCCAGATTGGCATTTCTCTAAGAAAACAAATCAAGATTCACAGACGCGATCTGTCAAAGAAAGTAATGATGAAACATACTGCAAAGAATTAAACTACTTCAATGCTTTATGAGGGAATTTGGCATGCCGTGTAAATCACCACCAAAATTAATTATAGTTTGTACAGAAATTTTGGACAAACAAAAAATTCAAGTTAAATGACGTTTCTAAGATGTGGACGAGTTTGACTATTGATGTTTTGGAGTACATTTTTAACATGGGGTCAAAGCCGAAACCCGAACCCCAACAACCAGTAACGTTTACTGAGTTATGGTTGCAATGGACGTTTCAGTAGCCTTGTGCTTCATTCGTAGATCACGGGGAAAAGGACAAAAAAAAAAAAAAAGACAAGTTTTTTCGATTTATTTTAAGACAAAAACAATGCCACTGTGGAGCTTTCAGTACAAAATTCTTTAAAATACAAGTAACTTCTAACTGCGGTGGATTTATGATTTAAGTAAACGTCAAAGCCAAAACCCGAACCCCAACCGGTAACGTTTCCTGAGTTATGTTTGCAATTTACTAATTAGTTATCAACAAAAACCATAATCTGTTTTCTGAAAAAAAAAAAAAAAAAACTATCTTTGAGGTTGCAAATCACTTAATCAAACTTAATCTCAATTATCAATGCCAAACACAATGAAGGTCGCATGATATCCATCTTTTCCTCCTTTTTAGTCCACACTAAAATGTTGTTTGATCATAAGTGGCCAACGAACTGAAAAAAGGGGGGACTTTGGTCCCTTACCCATGTGCATTGTCCTCTTTTTATGATGATTGGACCACGCACGCCTCCAAATCGTTTTGTTCCATCCTGACAAACGAACGGCTTAAAAACTGACGTTTTACTTTACTCCTTTCTTTTCTTTTGAGAACAGTGCGCCAATTTTGTCCTCCATTCGGTTGTTTGTTTTTTTCTACACCGTAATTGCCTGCACATATGTAATTAACGCTCACGGCTTTACTTCCCAGTTTGATTTGATTGAAATTCTGGATATATGGAAGTAAATAAAACCACATAAGTAAATATGAATGCTCGCAATTTCTAGCTTGGAAATAGAATATCTATGTTTAAACTTGACAGTATTCTGAGAAAGGCAAATATATATACTTGGTTTCTTCATGTATATCCTAAACATGTAAATAATGTGAACTAAGCACTTAAGCAGGAAGGAGACGAACTTGGTTGGGCTATAAAATTCAGTTAGCTGCCAATATAAAATTTCTTATGAAATATACTTGTTACATATATATATATATATATATATATATAAGCCTTGGATTCTTATCTGGTGATTTTTGACATTTACAGCTGGAGCTAGACAAGCAAGGACGAGTTGGATTATTATAATGGCAGTGAAGAAATGTAGTAGTAAAATAGTGAGTTGTATAAAATGTGTTTGAATTCTAAACAATCCATTGTGGTTGATCAACTAAACCCACACTTGCTGTATTTTTTATTTATTTTTTTTTATTTATTGAGCACACTTGCTGTATGTTATACACATGTTAACGACATTGTGGCATGTAATAAAATAAGCACTTGAAACTCATCATCATTGATGACACTCAAAATTGAATTCATGGTTATACGCGGAGGTTGGTCAAGGCAGCAACAGAACAGAGGTTTGGATTACATGATGCTTGAAAATGTTGGTCTAAAAATATAAATGTGGAATTACTAAAAGAACATCGTAATTACTGAAAGAATTGAATTGAATTAGCACTTAAACCCCTTTTCTTTTACTAACTTTTTTCAAACATACGTTAAATATGAATTCTAGGATTATTATATTGTTTTTTTATAATATCATTTTTCTTGAACGACCTAGGAATCGGAATGCTTTTGGCGAGGGTGTTCCGTCTAACCGCATGCGCGTCCACACGGATAGCGCGCCGTTCCAACTGACGCTTCGGTTGCATGTTTGAAATAGGATTGATGTTGTTTTTGTTGTGGGCTCCAAAGCGGCTTTTCACACGTTATCTGAAATCCCAATTTCACTTTTGTGGGTGTCAACGCTGGGTGCTCCTTTCTCTGAACACGATGCTGGCTACTTATCCAGTTGACCACTTTAGCCTTCCAATCTATGAACCGAGTGACCATTACACCCCTCCCCTTTGGTATTTCTCTTCTTTACCTGAAAGGAAAAAAAAAGATAAAACACATACGTCCTAACGACCGATTATTAAATGTATTAGAAACTGCATTTCTTCCTTCTTACAATTTCGTAAATTATTTATACAAAAAGTAAAGTATAATTTTTGGCCGGCATACCTGATAATTTCTTATTGTTTTCAACATCTTAATAAACTTTTATAAGAAAAAAGTTACATATAATTACTGATTAATTTGGTAGATAATGCGAGGTGCAGGCTACATTGTGAAATATGTTTTAGTAGCAGTTTATTCATTTGGATATAAAGAAATTGCTTCTATTAATGTTTCAGCCTTTTATCTTGTTGTGACTTTTACTTAATTTACATGAAACCTTTAAGATATAAAAATTAATCTACATAGAAGTAATAAAATTACAAAGTGAAATTTATAATATAAACATGAAAATCTTTTTGTTGTTGATGATGTTAATGTCGTATTATATTATTGTCTTTTTCTGGGTAATGAGCTCATTTAACATTCATCAAAAAATAATTTAGCTCGTACACGCACGAACTATATATTATACTAACATTTTTCTCTCTAAAATTGCACGAACGGAGTAATGGTGGTCAAATTTGTCTCCAACGTTAAAACCTTATAATCATTAATTACTAACATTCCACCCGTTAATGAAACGAAAAAAAAAACCCCTCCCTCTAGAATCGAATGAAAAAAACGATATAATCCTCGTGATCTCTTTTTAATTCCAAGTTTGCGTGGTTTTTTCATTTTTTTTTTTATTATTTTGATTGTATTAAAATAGATTTGATATCATTCCTGCCGCTTAATTACCGAACGTGGCAATAGACGTCTAAAATATGCTTAGGATTGGAGTTTCGCAACAAGAGGGAGTACAGTTGCAACATGTTAAAAGTGTGAACGCAATTCGATATTGCAACACTTGCTTGCACGTAACAAGAGAATATAAACGCATGAACATACATACGATGGTCCCAATCATTTCGGATGCTGATGAAAATGAGGATAGGATTAGCAATTTTTCAATATTAAGAATACCTTCATAATATGATCATCTGCACAGCCAGTAGCAATATTGATAGAATATGCTACGCAAACAACATTAGATATGCTGGAAAGTTTTCTACGAATTCACTATGTTTAATTCTTATTCTCATTACTTTCATATGGAAAATAAAAAATAAAATTTTTATTTTTATTTTTACTATTTCATTTTTTGTTATCAAATAATATCTTAAAAATTGGATAAAAAATTGCTTAACTCATAAGCCTAATAAAACCAACTCAAAGGGAACCTTCAAACATAGCACGATCATATAATAATATCTAGGTGAAAAATAAAAGTGGGATATGAGAACCCACTCAAAAAATGAACTGAACGCCACAGACACTAGCACCTTTAGAGTTTAGCCT